AGATTACAACTGATACCACAGAAATAGAAAGGATTGTAGAAATTACTATGAAGAACTGTATGCCAAGAAATTTGAAAACTTAGGGGAAATGGACACATTTCTAGAAAAATATAATCTTCCAAAACTAAATGAAAAAGAAGTAGAAAACCTGAATAGACCAATAACAGCAAAATAAATTGAAGCAATAATCAAAAAAACTCCCATCACACAAAATCCCTGGACCAGATGGTTTCACAGGAGAATTCTACAAAGCATTTAAGGAAGAGCTAACCCCTATTCTTCACAGGCTATTCCAGAAAATTCAAAAGAATGGAAAACTCCCAAACTCCTTTTATGAAGCCAGCATCATCCTAATTCCAAAACCAGATAGAGATACAACAAAGAAAGAAAATTTCAGGCCAATATCACTGATGAACATAGAAGCTAAAATCCTCAACATAATATTGGCAAATCGCATCCAACAATATATCCAAAAGATTATACAGCATGACCAAGTGGGCTCAATCCCAGGGATGCAAGGATGGTTCAACACTCGCAAATCAGCAAATGTAATTCATCACATAAACAAAAGCAAAGACAAAAATCATATGATCATATCAATAGATGCAGAAAAGCTTTTGATAAGGTACAATACCCATTTATGATAAAAACACTCAGCAAAGTGGGAATAGAGGGAGCATTCCTCAATATAATAAAGGCCATTTATGAGAGACCTACATCCAATATCATACTCAATGGGCAAAAACTAAAAGCTTTTCCACTAAGATCAGGAACAAGACAAGGATGTCCACTTTCACCACTTCTATTCAATATAGTTTTGCAAGTTTTGGCCACAGCGATCAGGAAGTAAAAGGAAATAAAAGGCATCTAAATAGGAAAGGAGGAAGCAAAACTGTCACTGTTTGCAGATGACCTGATAGTGTACATGGAAAATCCTATAGACTCTACCCCAAAAATGCTGGAACTAATTAACGAATTTGGCAAAACACCAGGATACATAGTCAATATCCAGAAATCAAAGGCATTTTTGTGTACTAACAATGAATCAGCAGAAGCAGAAATCAAGGAAAAATGCCATTTGATATAGCAAAAAGAAAAATAAAATATCTGGGAATAAACCTAACCAAGGAGGTAAAAGACCTGTATGCAGAAAACTACACAACACTGAAGAAAGAAATCAAGGAAGACACAAATAAATGGAAACATATACCTTGTTCATGGATTGGAAGAATTAACGTCATCAAAATGTCCATACTACCCAAAGCAATATACAGATTCAATGCAATACCTATTAAAGTACCAATGGCATATTTCACAGACATAGAACAAACACTTCAAAAATTTATATGGAACCATAAACGACCCGGAATAGCAACTGCACTTTTGAGAGAGAAGAACAAAGTAGGAGGGATCACAATACCTGATACCAAACTGTATTACAAGGCCACTCTAATCAAAACAGCCTGGTACTGGCATAAAAACAGGCACATGGACCAATGGAACAGAACAGAGAGCCCACAAATCAACCCAACTCTCTACAGGCAATTAATATTCAACAAAGGGGGCAGTAACATAAAATGGAGTAAAGACAGCCTCTTCAACAAATGGTGTTGGGAGAACTGGACAGCTACGTGCAAAAAAATGAAACTTGAGCACCAACTTACACCATACACCAAAATAAATTCAAGGTGGATAAAAGACTTAAATATAAGCTGTTACAGCATTAAAGTCCTAAAGGAGAACATTGGCAAGAAAATCTCAGATATTCCACTCAGCAACATTTTTACTGATATGTCCCCTAGGACAAGGAATATAAAGGAAAGCATAAACAAATGGGATCTCATCAAAATAAAAAGCTTCTGCATGGCTAAAGAAAACAGTATTAAATTAGCAAGACAACCAACTGTATGGGAAAACATATTTGCCAATGATACCTCAGACAAAGGTTTAATCTCCAAAATATACAAAGAACTTACACGACTCCACTCTAAGAAGACATCTAACCCAATTAAAAAATGGGAAAAGGACTAGAACAGACACTTCTCCAAGGAGGACATACAGAATATCCAGAGACACATGAAGAGATGCTCAATATCGTTAACTATCAGAGAGATGCAAATTAAAACCATAATGAGATACCACTTTACACCAGTCAGGATGGCTATCATAAACAAAGCAACAAACAACAAATGTTGGAGAGGTTGTAGAGAAAATGGGTCCTTAGTTCCCTGTTGGTGGGATTGCAGACTGGTACAATGATTATGGAAAACAGTATGGAATTTCCTCAGAAAAATAAAAATCGACCTGCCTTTTGACCCAGCAATTCCACTGCTAGGATTATATCCCAAGAATCCTAAAACATCAATATCGAAGAACCTATGCACCACAATGTTCATAGCAGCACAATTTACAATAGCCAAGAGCTGGAAGCAACCTAGGTGCCCATCAGTAAATGAATGGATTAAAAAATTGTGGTACATATACATAATAGAATTCTATGTAGCAGAGAGAAAGAAGGAGCTACTACCCTTTGCAACAACATGGATGGAACCGGAAAGCATTATGCTGAGTGAAATAGGCCAGGTGTTGAAAGACAAATACCATATGATCTCACCTTTAACAGGAAGCTAAACAACAAAACAAACAAGCAATCAGAATAAAAACAAAGACACTGAAATAGACCAGTGGGCAGTGACCAGAGGGGAGAGGGAAGGGAATTTAAGGGGGAAAATGGGAGGGATTTTGAGGAACAAGTATGAAAGACACAGGGATGAGGACTAGGGGGGGAGGAAATGGGAGGGAGGTGGGGAGCACGGGGCGAGGGGGGCTGGGATGGGAGAAATAGACAAAAAACTGTACTTAAAAATAACTAAATAAAATTAAAAAAGAAAACATAAAAAAAGAATTGTAGCTGTATAATAGCATGCAAATGATATGAAATTTGACAATTCTGAAATGGTAGTAAAGTAAATGAAATTTGGGATATGACAGGGATTGGTAGAAAGACAAGGTGAAAGGTAGGATGAGTAGACTTCTAGCCAAGATGGAGGCATAGGTAGATATACTTTACCTCCTTGCACAACCAAAAGAAGGACAACAACAAATTTTAAAACAAAAACAACCACAACTGTCAGAAAATCTAACTTCTGGCAGTTTGATTTGTTGGCAGACTTATGGAAGTCTGACTTCCATAAGTAGTAAGTGACAGATCACTTTGTAGTAAGTGACAGATTAATATACCCTGTTCAAAGCTGATAAATCAAGTGTTTGATGAGTAAATATTTTAAGGACACAAAGGTAAAAACTAGTTTAAGTATAATATTAAAACCAACCAAAAATACTATGTTAGAGTAGATGTAGAAAATAGAAACATGCTTATTTCTTCATAATTTATAGGAAGAAGTTGATAAACTTTATCTAAATAAACAATTAAAATCTATTTTAAAGTTTTGCCAACTCACCAGTATGTATTCTATGGAATATGTATCTTTTTCTCCTGTTTGAAAAAAAAAATCTTCATTATCTTTTCTCTTCTCCATGATTCTTCATGAAATGGTTTTGTGACAACATCTGCCAGGTTTTGTTTAGTGTCTTTGAATAATCTTCATCTATATCTAGAGTTCTGAACTATTTTAAATCAGCCAAGGACAAAAATCTTTATTTCACTATATTCATGTTTTATTTCTACCAATTTCAGTTGGTTTATTTTTTTCTATCTTCCCATGCATCCACCAACCCAACTAACAGTTGTTCAGTTTTTACTATGAGTAAGATGCTGTGTGAAGATGCTAGCTAATTTAGAAAGATAATTCAGACAAGATGTTGGAGCCCAAGAGGCCTGTGAGGGGTCGAGGATAGGGTCTAGCACTGCGGGTGTGGTGACTGGGCCTGTTTTCCGGCCTCGGGGCTATCTTGGGTTGTAACAGTTCTCTGACCCCTTGAGAAAGTAGCCGCTTCTCCCATCAACTCATATCTTTGGCCTGTGCATCATGTACCAAGAAAGTATCTTAGCTTGGGAACGTCCGGACTCTAAGGGAAGAGATAAACTTTGTGGGTCAAGGAAGTAAGCTACGTGCCAGAAGGCTTCTCCTTTGTTCTCCTTTGTATCCAAGATTGTATATAAGCCAGAAGACTGCGCAATAAACTTGCCTTATGCCAGCAGAGCATTTGGTCCTCTCCTTTATTTCAGTCCCTCGCTCAGCCTCACGACCACCCTTGCCGCAGCGGGCTGCGGCAGAGTGGCGCCCGAATGTTGGAGCCCAAGAGACCTGTGAGGGGTCGAGGATAGGGTCTAGCACTGCGGGTGTGGTGACTGGGCCTGGTTTCCGGCCTCGGGGCTATCTTGGGTTGTAACACAAGACTGCTCTCTGTTCAGTCCAGGGAGGAAGCAAATAACTCTGGTACAAATATGCTTTTAATATCAAGAGCACCCTCCCCAAACCATCACCAAACTCAAGAAAAGCTAAAGCTATCTGGATGATTCTGGATAGACTCTATGAAGAAAACAGCTCTTCCTCTGGGTCTTAAAGAATGAGTAGATCTTCACCAGGCAGGAGGAAAAAAAAAAGGACATTCCAGATAGAGAGTACGAAATAAGCAAAGACACAGAAGAAATGATGATCACTTTGGTCTGACTGTAATGGGAACATACTGGAAGGTAAGGGGAGAGGTGGCCCTAGAGATTTTTCTTAGTTGAAAATAGAGTTCACTCTTCTGGATGACTTTGTAAATACAAAGGGTTCCCATGATTCTGCAGTGTCACACTTAGGTTTGGTCTTCACCACAAGACATCAACCCTCTGTGATACCTACCCTCTTTTCTTAGCCCCCAGCAAACATTCCACATTGCCAAGAAGCATTCCAGTTGAGAACTGGATTGATGACCCCAGTGAATAGCACACAGCCCTGGCCAGTTCCCACAGGCTGCAAACTGCCCACTTCTGGTTCCAATACAGTTCTCTCAGGGAGTGCTTCCTAGCCCCCACCCTTGCTGTATCTTACTTTCATCTCCAGGGATTCTGGCACCTTCTTGCCTTCCCAAGCCCAACTTCGCTTGGTGAAGTAGTTGACAGTGGCAAATTCAATCAGCGCAGAAAATACAAAGGCATAACAGACGGCTATGAACCAATCCATGGCCGTCGCATATGCCACTTTAGGTAAGGAGTTTCTGGCACTGATACTCAGAGTGGTCATGGTGAGAACAGTGGTGACACCTGGGGAGAGAGAAGATAAGGACCAGTTGCCATTCAAAGACATTTAGAGCATATCTGATAAGATCACCAATTTTCTACTTAAAAGGAGGAGTTATACCTCACTCAAATGGCTCCTTTAAAGTAAAAAAACAGAGAATGTAAAGGTGGGATGGTTCTACCTACTAAACACCCCATTCCAATTCTCCCAGTAGTAGCAATTTCCAGTAAAACATTTCTAAAAGTTGTCCTCTAGCTTCTATTTAAACATTTCCATTAAAGAATGGGTAAAATATTTTATTGTAAGAGAGCAATCTAGTTAGGAAAAAAACCTATTTTTTATTTTTTTGACATTTTTATTATTGTTCAAGTAAAGTTGTCTCCATTTTACCACTACTATTTTCCTGTGCCCTTCCCACCCATATTTCCCACCCTCAATCTTACCCCTCTTAGGATTTGTCCATGGGTCCTTTATACATGTTGCTTAATGACCCTTCTCTTTCTTTCCCCTATTATCCCTCTCCCTACTCCCATCTGGTACTGTCAGTTTGTTACTTATTTCCATGTCTCTGGTTATATTTTGCTTCCTTGCTTGTTTTGTTGATTGGGTTCCACTTATAGGTGAGATCATATAGTATTTATCTTTCACCACCTGGCTTATTTCACTTAGCATAACACATTGGGGTGCATAGGTTCTTTTGAATTGGTGTTTCAGGATTCTTAGGATATAATCCCAGCAGAGGAATTGCTGGGTCAAATGGCACTTCCATTTTTAGTTTTTTGAGGAAATTCCATACTGTTTTTCACAGTGGCTGTACCAGTCTGCATTTCCACCAACAGTTCACTAGGGTTCCCATTTTTCCTCACCAGCACTGGTTGGTTGATCTGTTTATGATGGCCATTCTGACTTGTGTGAAGTGGTATCTCATTGTAGTTATAATTTGCATATCTCTGATGGTTAGTGATGCTGAGCATCCTTTCATATGTCTCTGGGAGCTCTGTATGTCCTCCTTGGAGATGTGTCTGTTTCAGTCCTTTACCCATTTTTTCGTTGGATTGTCTGTCTTCCTGGAGTGAGGTCATGTGAGAGTTCTTTATATATTTTGTAGATAAAATCTTTGTGCGAGGTATCATTGGCAAATATATATTCCCATACGGCTCATTCCCTTGCATTTTCTTGATGCTTTCTTTGGCCATACAGTAAGTTTTTATTTTGATGAAGTCCCATGTGTTTATTCTTTCCTATGCTCCTTGGTATAAATATTGCTGAATGGAACATCTGAGATTTCCCTGCCTATGTTCTCCTCTAGGACTTTTATCATGTTGTGACTTATATTTTAAGTTTTTTATCCATCTCAAGTTTATTTTTTGTATGATGTAAGTTGGTGGTTGAGTTTCTTTTTTCTTTTGCATGTAGTTGTCCAGATCTCCCAACACCATTTGTTGAAGAGGTTGTTTTTACTCTATTTATGCTCTTGTCCCCTTTGTTGAATATTAACTGACCATGAAGACATGGGTTTATTTCTAGGCTCTCTATTATGTGCCGCTGATCTATGTTTCTATTCTTATGCCACTATCAGACTGTTTTGATTACAGTGGCCTTGTAATATAGTTTGATATCAGTATTGTGATCCGTCCTACTTTGTTCTTCTTTCCCAAATTGCTTCAGCTATTTGGGGTCATTTATGGTTCCATACAATTTTTTGAACTGTTTGTTCTATATCTGTGAAATATGTCATTGGTATTCTAATAGCAATTGTGTTGAATCTATCAATTGCTTTGGGTAGTATGGACATTTTGATTATATTAATTCTTCTAATCCATGAACATGGTATATACTTCTATTTATTTGTGTCTTCCTTTATTTCTTTCTTCAGTTTTGTGTAGTTTTCTGAATATAGGTCTTGTACCTCCTTGGTTAGGTTTATTTGTATGTACTTTAGTTTTCTTGTTGCTATAGTAGATGGGATTTTTTTTTCTGATTTCTGTTTCTGATTTCATTTTTGGTGCACAGAAATGCCTTCATTTTCTGAATATTGACTTTGTATACTGCTGCAAAAAACCCTATCTTATAAGTTAAAATCTGCCTTCTTCTAACTCCTAGCTAGTCCACTGACTGATCTTAGAGTTCTTTCTCTGGCAACATGGGAAAGAAAAAACCTGTTCCCTCCTTTTCAAAACAGGCCTTCAGAGACTTGGAAATGATGGCAATAGTTCCTCATGAATCTGTTTATTTCCAGAATGAAGATGGCCAAATCCTTCTCTTGTTTCTCTGCCTTTCGCATTCTGGTAGGTCTTTTCTGAACAGTCCATAATTGAGTCCAAGGCTGAGGACATGGTTTGAGGTCAGTAGAATATTTGCTTTCATTACTATGGACACTATCCTCCTTACAATGCATAAAACTGTTGTAGGAAATGGTTCTTTACCTGCATCACAGTCTAGGTCCTGTTGAGCTTCATGGACAACCAAAGCTATTCCAATATTTATGTTTTGTGAGTTTTTGCCAAACCACAGCTTGCTATAGATCAACTGATTATTTTTCTTGGTGGTATTATTACCCTAAATTTAAGACTTCCTTTTACTCACTTTTAAATTCTATTTATTTTTTTCTGTTCTGTTCAAATTGTAGTTGTAAATTTGAGCCCTATAGTATTTTGGTTAACGATATGAGCTTTAGAGACAAACTGAAATAGAAAATCTGTCAATCCCACTTACTAGTAATATGAGCTTGAACAAAGTGTTTTACCCCACTCAGATTTAGTTTTATCATATGTAAAATACCAGACTCAGAGAATGTTGGGGGGATCTAGTGAGGTGATATTTATAAAGCCCATAGCACAATATCTACCTCATGGTAATTAATCAATAGTAGCTTTTATAATTAACATTGCTCCTAATTTTACTATAATTATAAACACATTTTAAACAAACATAATAATTTTATAATTGTTAGCAATAGTATTCTGGTCTCTAATGCATAAATACCTACACTAAAAGTTAGGAGTCTTGAGTACTGCCAATTACTTGCTTTTTAACCTGGGCAATTTCCTTAATTTCCCTGTGCCTTCATTCTGCTTTTCTATGAATATTCCTTACAGTCTGTATCCCCCAGAATGGTGATAAAGCAGTTACTATATCAAAAGTCATCCAGACTTAGAGAAGGGGGATAGTCAGAACTGTTAAGTGCTGGCATGTTCAAGAAGATGGGAATGTTAGCCTCATGAGTTAGGTCAAATAGGGCATGGAAGGAAATCCTAATGGGGTAAGATGTTATATTTTAAAAAAAGAAGATAAAGCCTATCAATTATCGAGTCCACCTAGAAAGCCAGCTATGTGTATTGTGGCCTTCTCTCCTATCTTGCCTCCTTGCATACCTTACTAATACATTTGCTATGTAAATGAAAATCTAGACTGAAAAAGACACTACAGTTTCAAAAGAGACACCATAAAGGAGCATCTTTGAACAAATTAGGCAGAGACTCATCAAGGCTGAATAGCAACAACACATATTAAGCCATTTCAGGAATCAGCCACATAGCTAGTACTATCTGAACTTTATGGCCTTATAAGCTCTGAGAATAGATCCAAGATTCAGTAACCCAGTGATCACACTGAGAAAGGAGTAATTCAAGGGAGAAACAAATTACTTCATTTATGGTTATCATCATTTCCAGCTGTCCATCCTTGGCACATTTATGGCTCTGTGCCAATGCGTGGATGGAGAGAACTACACCGAAACACAAGTGTTTCTGTGTCATATCTCAGTAGAGACTTTTAGAGGTCTAACCTCTAACACTTAATTAGAACTGTCATCTTGTGAAGAGCTCTTAGCTACTTAAGCTGGTAGTAACCTCAATAAAGCATTTTGTGTATTTCATGGATGGACAAAAAGGTTTGACATTTTAAAAGACATCTGGGCCTGCCACCCAGTGCTTCTCTTTCAAGATTCTTCTAGAAAGTTTTTGTGTGACTGCCCTGCCTCACTTCTGTTGAGCACTTCTAAAAGTGTAGTAGTTCTTTGTTAACAAGTCTGTTACACCAAAACAAGAGTTGCTTAAAAGCAGGGACCATGGTCTATTTCCTCAACCCTGAACACAATAGAGTAGGCCACTAATGCATGTGTAATGAGTGCAACTGCTCTGCCCAGGATACAGCCTGTGGACTGTACCACATTTGCTCTCATCAGAGTGAATAATGTACCTTTTTAATATTTTATTTTTTAATATTTTATTTATTTATTTTTAGAGAAGGTAAGGGAGAAAGAGGGAGAAAAACATCAATTTGTGGTTGCTTCTCGCAAGCCCACTATTAGGGATGTGGTCCACAACCCAAGCATGTGCCCTGACTGGGAATTGAACCGATGACCCTTCACAGTTTGATGCTCAATCCACTGACCCACATCAGCCAGGGCACTTATGTACTTTTTATAGTAACTATAGTGTTGTTATTATCAATAATATAGTTATTATTTGCTTCTTTTCCACAACATTAACTGTCTATTCTGTGTCTCACAGAGTTGGGTCATAGTGATATAAAAATTAACATATTTTGGACTACAAAATTCAAAATAAGCACTCACTTCTCCCCAGGAGATAAATAAAAAATCATCTATTGAGCTCAGATACCACCACAAGGGCAAGACTTTTTGTTAATTTGTTGTCAGTCAGATTTAATCCTATTTTATCAAGTACATTACTAAGTATGATCAAGTGCCCCATCCTTTGTTACAACCCTCTTCTCCCAAACTCTTCTAACTCCCCACCTGTGCTGCTCTATAACAAACAAATTCACCAGTCTTCTCAACCTCTTCTCCGAGTGCACATTCCTCTTTTGATCTTAACTGAAACATAATTGTCCTTTTGAATATACTGTTTTGGTTTCAAAAGGTGATTGATGATTCAGAATCAAGAGCTCAAGTGGTAGGGATTCATATTTTCCTTGATCTCTATTATTTTTTACTCCATTTGATCATCATAGTCATGTGATAAACTGTGCTTCTATGATATTTCTACTATCCGATGGC